TTAATTTCGAACTTTGTCAACCATAACTTATAAATAGATTTTCCTTGCTTAAAATTAACTGTTGCAATTAACCCTTAAAACTGAGGATCTTAGGACTATAGAAACAATTAGGTCTTTCCACAGGGTTAGTTCTTGTCAGCTGAATCAGATTAGCCCAAGGAATCTATATTTTTTGAGAAAAATCGTGATTAAAGATGACGGAATCTAAAATATGAAAACAAATTTGAATTTGTGTAACTTAATGCAACAAAAGACTTAGATCTTTATAAAGCTTTAGTAGAAATCTCAATAAGTTATTCCATTAAACGGCAGTATATTTAGTTTTCGTATTTGAGTAGAGTTGAAAAGCTATGAGCTGTGAATATAAAGTATGCTATTTTGTCTAATAGTTGTCAAATTATGACACTGCCATATGGGACGAATTTAGTTATCTCACTAGTATTCAGTACTAGTGATTATGAACACCTTATGAAATTATAGTTGCGCTAATGCTACCCGAAAATATTCACAGAGACGGAGTTCCAGACCTATAACAATAGTATATAAAGCTATAAAAGCATCCATAATAAATTATGCCTTCTTTGATCTAACCTTACTATTCTAATTTCACTATAGTTGACTTCACCTTTTAAAGCAGAGTTAATACTATGTAGTAGTGATTCATGGATCATAGGTAAGAGAAAGAAGAGGAGAGACCATGATGAGATATTTTCCATATTAATAGGGGCATTTGACAATTTGATGTTTTTAATGTATTATCGTTAGAAACAAACATTTTTAATATGTTAAAAATCTTTAAAATAATCTATGATGGATATATTTTCTTTGCCTTTGTATATAAAGAACTGCTTATAATCTAAAGTTGGAAGAATTGATAGTTTATTAATGAATACGATTGTAAAGGCCACCTAGACAGAAGAGCAAATCTGCAAAATAACTTAAAATTCATTTGAAGGCTAATTTATAATTTAAAAATTTCTGCAAAGTTATCATTCCAAAATTGAATTAATTGTGACAAACAGTCGAAATTCAAACTTGAAGAAAAATCAGCAAACTTTTCAAACTAAATATATAATAAAATTCAAGTCTTTGCCTATGAAGACTTGGTCCGTAATGTTATTAAATAGCATTTATTTCAATATTTTTCTCTAATTTATTAGAGAAAAATACTTTTAAGATTAGACTTGTAAAAAAGGGAAAAGATGACAAAACCCATTTATTAATCATATAAATATAAGAAAACAAAATATTAGCAACTTATGAATTATGAATTAAAAATGCTTTAATCTTAACTGAAAATGTTTATTTTTACTCCTTCATATAATTTGCTTCTACTATTAAATGATCTCTTATCGTAAAAAGATGACCTGATATATGTATTGTGTTCATCCTATTTCGTTTTAGACGATGAAGAACTTGTAGGTTAGTTTGAAAATCTATTTATCAACGAAATAAGTAAAACTTCCATATTGCTAGTATCAGTTCAAGTTAGTGAATCCTCTAAGTTACCTGGGACCAACGAACATAAGGACAGGATAAAAGGCCATATATTTATGATGGCTGATCTATCGGCAGTCTGAGTAAACATGTTGATTGGGCTGAGGGGATATGCAAACAAAGGCAAAACAAGGATATCGATTTCGTATAGTAAGCATAGCTAAACTTTAGAGTAATATATGTGACTAGAATGATAGGAATGTCTAATGAACTTAGGTATTCGGCTAAAGGGTAATAAAAACTAATCGTAGGCAAGGGAAAAATTAGTCTGATTTGATCACACTGACATATCAGCTAAGTATTTTGAGGTAGGGGAATATCATAAAC